GTTAGCAATGGTTTATATAAAACTTTACAAACTTAGTTTATAAGTGTTAAAGAAGCATATGTTGCTTCAAAATGTAAATTCTTTTTTTTTCTTTAAATTTTTGAGATTCTATCCCTCCATCTAACTATCCCTCCATCCAACTATCCATCCATCCACCCACCCACCCACCAATCTGTGCATGTGTATGGGTGTTTTGTCTATGTGTATGTTTGTGTACTACTTGTGTGTCTGGTGCCCATGGAGGCCAGAAGAGGGCACTGGATCTCCTGGGACTGAACTGAAGTTACAGGCTGATTAGAACTGCCATGATGGTGCTGGGAATTGAACCTGGATCTGCTGCAGAGCCATCTCTCAGCCTAAGATGTAAATTCTTCAGTGAAGAGAATGATCATAGTTTGTTCCAGCTATTTTTAAAGTTTTAATTTTTACAAGCTGAGCTTTTTTAAAATCAGTTACCAAAGGAAGGAACAGAAGCAATTCCATGTTGGCTAGCCTCATGAAAATGAGCAGTATTTCTCCCCTTTGTGCACTCTTCAACCAACAGATGTCACTAAAGATACCAGTACCCAGAGGCAATGGGAAGAACAGATTAAACAAATGGAAATTGAGCATAAAAACATCCACTTCTTAAACTGAGAAGTAGGTTTCCAGAGTAATAACATTTATTACAGTGCATGCAACATTTTAACCAAAATTTAGAGAAAGAAATTTCTTTTATTAAGTTGCTCAGGCTGAAGGATCATTGCACTAAGTTTTGAAATACATGTTCTTGAAGCAATTTAAAACTCATTAGAAATAATAGGCTAGGGCTAGTAGAAGATGTGGTAAAATTTAATCCTCATCCAAATGTTACCTGGGCTGTACAAACAGGAAATTGTTTTGTGCTACTGTGGCTAACCTCGTGCTGACCCTGTGCTGGAACGGCAAGAGCAGCCGAGAGCTGAAGAAAATTAAAAACTTACATCACAGTATATCATGACAGAATGTAGATAAATAAAACAGCCTATCAAAAGGATTATTTTTCCGCCAGTCTCACATTGCAGTGAAGAAGAGATGGTCCTCAAAATACGTGATAAATCAGGTGCATTCAGCACTCAGTCCTCTCTAGTACCACTACATCCCTGACCACCCAACACTACCTAGGAGAAGGGAGCCTCAGGGAAGCTCAGTGAGGGTGGGGACGGAAGGGACTGCAGAATGATCTGGCTCTTTAGGATTCCCTGCCCTTCACCTGGAATAACCCAAAGAAGTAAATACTTCAGGCTCTTCCCAGCCTTTGCTGTTACTCTTTCATCTTTCAGACTCCCAGATGGCAGCCTGGCCACACGATCTCCCTCCAATGAGCATACGGGACTGTCCAGAGGAAAGACATGGTAAGAAAACATGCCAGAGCCCAGAAGGCAGATGAAGACAGCATGGGATTCCATGGACTCTATTAGCCTATGTGACACGCATGTGTTAAAATCACCAGTAACAAAGCTGGAGAATATTTTCCCATGTGTACTTTGGTTTCCCTCAAGTTTTAGGATGAAAATCACAAAAACTCATAGTGCCTGTCATAAACTTCCTAAAAGTCTTAAGAAGCAGTAAGGGATATGGAAAAATTATTACCTATAATTACTCTGACTTCCAATCCAAACAATTGCCAGCTACATAATACCTGGTAAGCTTCTAATGCCAACAGCTTCAATTTCAGTTTCTTGTCACAGTAATCACAAAGGCTGGTTACAGCACTCATACTGGCCAGCTGGTCTAAGGCCTTTCAGAAAGTACCGGAGTATCTATTCTATAACCACCTTAGAAGCTATATGTTATTCTCCCCATTTAAGAAGAAACTGAAGCTACTTAACCAAGGTCATGGAACTAGCAATACCTGTATGAGGACGTGAGGAATATATGATAAATGACTTAATACAGAAGCAAGCACTCAACAGTGGGTTAAAACCAGAAACTACCAAAACTATTATTTTAAATTGAGAAGCAGAGCCTGACTCTTAACTCCTGGCCTTTTTCCTGAGCAAGAAAATTCCTTACTGCATGTCTTCTCAAGAATACTCAGATACCAGCCATTCTTATGCATACCTGTGATCTCAGTAGTTGGGAGGAAAAGAAATTTAAGACTACACAAAGTCAGTTTGAAGACAGCCTGGGCTATGTGAGAACTGCCTGAACAAACAAATGCATGCTTTCAAGGCTCTGACTTGTCTTCTTTTCCTTCTCCAATGCAATCTTCATAGCTATCTTTCTCGTCTTTTCCTGCAATGCCTTGTTCTGTGTCTGACCACTGCATAGGAGAATGGAGAGCTTTTAAAGCCCACAGGGTTGACACTGCTTTGTATGACTTCTTTTAGTGTCACCTGCCAGTGTTCCTATCTGTTCTGGAAAGCCAGTTGCACTGCTCTTACCAACCCCACTGCAGCAGTCAATAAGCCACAAAGCACCAGGAGAGGTTCAACTGTTCCTGGGGACAGGAGCCCATCATTTGCATAGTGCGAGGCCTACCAGTTATCAAGTAGCTCCTGAATGTATAGTTTCACAATGATAATGACTGTTTCCTTTTGGGGAAAAAAAAGGCTAGAGTGATGGTACTGTGACTAAAGGTGTTAGGACTTCTGCAGTGGACCTGGGTTCGTGTTTCAGCGTCCACACACAGCTCCTAACTGTCTGTAACTGTAGCTCCAGGAGGTCTTATGCCCTCCTCTGGCCTCCTCAGATACTAGGTATATACATGGTGCACTTATATACATGAAAGCAAATTACAGATCAACCTTCTCCCTAACCCCATCCCTGGATTAGCTATAGCCCCAATGCAAGGCAAACTAGACTTAGAAACTCCACTTCAAAGTAGGCTCTGTTTCCTCTGGAGGCAAAGCACTTTTACTTTCTATGATTTCTATCTCTCTATTTTAAAATAGATATAAAAGTTGTGGTAATGTAGCCATTGGTATAAGGCAAAATAAGAGTGTTAGTATGCTACCTTAAATAGGCAGTTTCTCTTGTTTCTGCACACTTAGGATTGCAAGCTCAAATTCAAATGCACAATTAAAAAAAATAAGCATTTTTAATGGAAGCTTACAATAACAATAACTCAGAATACCAGCATGTGTTCTGAAATGAAATAAGAATAGTTAAAACACATATTTTTTGCTCTTCTAAGTATGCTTTCACTTTTTGAGATACCCCCCCTCCCACACTCACACAGAGAACTACAATAAGGAAGCCTGACAGCACTCTGTAAAATCTGTCTTAGTTACTCAGGAGGGATGAGCGTCACCAGCTTTCTGAGATGAAGTGCACTTCAGAGGCAGTTACTGACATGGGGAACTACAACAAAGTGACAAAATCCAAACCTGCAAACCAAAGAAACACACAAAACTACGAAGAAAAAGAACATGGGATCAGGACAACACTGAGGAGAAATGTGTCACACAGGAACCCAGCTGGAAGCTGGCCTCAGTCAGATCATGCTAAGTTAGACTGGAGGATTTACCTCTGCTCTGTCCTCATTACCTGCCTACATAACTGTCTCAGAAGTTTCTAGCTTTTCAAGGAACTTCCAGACTGGTTCCCAAAGCGGCGGCACTAGTTTACACTCCCATCAGCAGCATAATGATTCCCCTTATGCCACACCCATATGCCAGCATTTGTTGTCATCTGCATCCTTGATGATGGCATTATGACTGGCTGAGACGGAATCGTAAAGTAGTTTTATGTGCATTTCCTTCATTGCTAAGGATGTTGAATACTTAAAAAGAACTCAAGGTCCACTCTATAGGAGGGGGATACATGTACTATAAACTCAGCCCCAAATCCATGACTGCACAGGTCTCAGGCCCTACAGTGAAACTGAAGACTGATGTTTGCTCAACTGACAGAGCATCAAGTCAGCTCCACCCTAAACAAGACATTTACACCACCCCTTTAAGGCTCAGGGAACGCTATGGAAGAGGAGGCAGACAAATAGCTGAAAGACAGGGAGAAGGGCTAGGAATTGCCATATTGGAAGCACAACACGACCAAGGGAAAATCATGAACTCCTATAGCTGTGTGTACTGGCACTGAGCCCACAAAAGAAAGACCCTGTGACAATCAGCTATGGATGGGATGGAGCCCTGACACTAACTGCACATCTACTGGAAACTAACTAGTTCTGGAGACAGGGAGGCAGGGTCCAGATTATCTCCACTGGTAGGCCTGCCAAGCTCTGAAGCATAGTTCCAAACCCAGCATCATGCAGATTCTACAGGAAACACACACAAACACACACACACACACACACACACACACACACACACACAAAAAAAAACCCACCACCAACAACAAAAAACAACTAACAAATATGGGTAAGAAAGCTCTAAGGGGCTATCAGGAAAATTGAGAGGGTCTGGGAAAAAGAATAACCAGAATATAGCACATGTATGTATGAAATTGTTAAAAAACCAAAGAAATGATTTCTTATAACTCAGAAAAAGTCTTGAAAAGACAATGTTGTTATTGAAGTTGCCCTAATTGGCAAGTGCTAGGGACAATAATAATTTTGAGGCCCAAACTGCTATAAATAGATTACGAAGAACTTAACTATAATCGATTATCTTGACTTGGGAACTCTGGTTCTAGAGCTACAGAACCCAAATGTTTTTTGCAATAAAACATTTACTGCCTTTTGTGAGGCTATTTCCTGCCAAAATTGTCTAAGCATTCAGAGACGAAGATAGCGAATTCCTTGTTGTAAATTTGAGAAATTCCGAATATACTACAACTTTAAAAAGTCTATCTACTGTACTCTTTATTACTGACCCTGCAATTTTATCCCCCCTAAAATGTATCAAGTTAGCCAGGATGTTCCTTCCTCTCCTGCCTGATGCTGTTCAGGTTTGGGTCCTGCTTCCCACACTGTTACCGACAAATATGAAGGCTCAAAAGAACGACACAATAAGCATCTTTCCTTTCAGGAGCAGGTGCCTTATACTGCAGAGACCAGTGTGGAAAAGGGTATTTACCGTAGGTGCAAATCATTTTGCTTGCTTCTCTGAAAAGAAGAATTCCATTGGGAGAGGACACATCAAAATTCAAACGCTGAGACCTAAGAAATATAGCAAAAATTATGCTATTTCTACAAATAAAGAAGCCAAATATCAGCATGTCTAGCAATTTCACTTATAAGAATTTCATTCAGCACCAATTATTCTTTAAAGAGACACTTCAATGTATAGCTTCCGATAAAAATATGTACAATAATTTCTTCACTTTTGTTGATTCAAGGGTTCATTTTTAATTTATTGAAATAATATCCTGACATTTTACAACACAGATTTTCTACCGCTTCTTCTTTCATGTAAAGTGACTGATGGATAATTATTTAAAAAATGTAACAGTTAGACACTTGCCATGTCCTAGTGTGAGTCATATCTATGAAACAATTCTAGAGTGACAGAAGATGCCATGTCTTTTAGTAAGGCACAGATGCGAACTGGGTCACCTCACAAATGGAACACATTTCAAATACACTACCAAATTACAGACTACTGTAGACTGTACACAGTTGAGCAAATGAGAAACAAATTCCAAGAAACAAGTTCTGAGAAAAAACTTTTGTTTTCCTGGCTCCCCACAGGTGGGGAGTAATTTGAACAGAGCAAGGGATTGGCAAGCCATTCTGACAAAATACCTGCTTTTCAGCCCTCTCCCTGGCTTCATTTGGCTATTGTATGCCAGGCAGCTGTGCTTTTAAGATACAATGGAATGTTTTTAAACAGAGTTTCAACAAATAAGCAAACTACCTCCTAAACCACAGGCAAAGCATTGCTAATATCTTGTTTGCTAAACAAATTGCTGCTTTTCAAAATTAGTTTACTATTAAGTACAATAATAACTCTAATTAGAAAAATGCAAATATATAATCCATACTAGCTTCTAAAGAAATCTATACATAGCTTTTCATGAAATACTTTTTTGAAATACACATTTTTATATGGCAATTATTGAGTCATTTGTGCTATGCATAATTACCTGCTAGGGCAGACACAAAATGTTTTATAGCATAGAGCACTATTTTTTTCCTTCAGTATTAAATGCTTTTTTGGTAATACATATCTAATTAATAGTATTTAATGATAAATAATCCACACTCTAATATTAAATAAAAAGCCCATATTCTCTGAATATTTAAAGTGCCCGTGAGAAAACTTAAAACAAAACAAAACAAAACAAAACCCTAAGAGCTTTCAAAAGAAGAAAATACATTTCTGTCACAAATCTTTTTTCATCTTTCACTTAAGAGTAAAAAATTGAATTATTGCTGTGAACAACTCAGCAACAGGGCCAAGCTGAGCTGCAGCCCATGTTTTTCCTGCCCTGTCTGGCTATCTCTCCTTCAACTCGCTGTCTGCACAGAGGCACTGATGAAACAGGATGGCTAACTGGCAAGTAATTGGTGCTACGGCACATCCACTATGACACGTTTTAAAGAGGCTAATCCAAGCAGACTGCTGTAGTTCCCCCACCTCTCTGCGGAATCTTGGTTAATAGTAACATGTGAAGCACCTGAATGCCTGCTGCCCTGCTCAAATCCTAAGGTCTGAGAAGTGTGGCTGCAAGCACACGCTCCCAGCACAGGATGATGCTCAGTGAGAGCAGGGACGTCCTCACAGCTCCTGGACTAAGTGAGCTGCCCCGAGACTCAGTTTCCGTATTCATAAAGTAAAATTTCTTAACTCAGATATACTTTTCTTCCTCATTTAAAATTTTACACAATTGTAGCTAAGCAGAAAAATAGTTAAAAGATAACTGCTCCTTTTTTTTCTATTTTGTCATTTTGAATATTTTAAATAACAGTGGCTGTAGTCGTTCAACTTTTTCCATTTCCCCAAGTTTCTGTGTAGCCATTCTTCCTCCTCCTCAGCCTCATACACCTACAACATACTGTAACTTTCTCTTCTTCCTTTCAAAGCTCCTTGAATTGCTTTCACTGACCGTCCCCCTGTGCTAACACTAAACTTGACAATACACAGCAGGCAGATGCAAGCTCTGCAGACCGTGCACAGATGCTTACCTGTTTTGCGTCAGTTCTGCCAAGAGTTTTAAGATGGGAGTGGTACATTCTGGTTCTCTATACCATCGCTCAATAGCTCTCTGAAGAACTGGGAGATATGTCGGGTACCTATTAAAATGTGTTAAAGAATTTATGGGTCAAGAACTTGGACTGTGGCAAACCCCCTGCCTAGCATGCACAAGTCCTTTGCTGAAAATTGCTGAAAATTAATGGCCTTTTAAAGCAAGCAAACAAACAAACAGAAATCCACATTCTTTCTGTTGGTGCATAATGGCATCTCTTTTTAACTAAACAGATATACTTTTGGGATAGCTACAAAGTTAAATTCTTTTATTCCTGGTATTAGAAATAAAACAAAGATATACTTTTAAATATTATTTAAGTAATACACTTAAAGAATTATGTTTACTGTTATAGAGAAAAAGTAAATTTAGCTAAAGAGAAATAAAAATGAAAATGTATTTAAGTCATTATTATTGGAGCTTCTGAGTATTATACTGAGAAGACTTTTATTATGAAAAAGTAAAAAAACACAAAAGCATAGAGAAACAGTAAATATTAAAGATCTACCTCAGTTTCAGGATCACTTACTTTTTTTTTTTAAGCTGTTGGCACCTCTGCGTTGGTACCATTGAGCTCCAAGAAACATCTGGGCTGTTACTCTGCATAAGAGCTCTGGCCTCCTTAATGTACCACCTTCCTGGTACCACAATAGTTAGTAGTCCTATATGATGGTGCTAGCTCTATAACCTGCTCAAGGCCACTGTTGCTAAGGGTAGTACAAAATCCATGTAAGCTCTCTCCCTCTCTTTTCAGACAGGGTCTATTATATAGCTCTAGTTCTCTTGGAATTCATCACAGGAAAACCAAGCTGGCCTCGAACTCATCAAGATCCACTTGCCTCTGCCTCCTGAGTGCTGAAATTAAAGGCATGGACCACCATCGCCCAGCACAGTGTCCATTTTTCTATATGCTGCTTCCTTCTGCCTCATCCCTTCTTTTAATACCTAGCTCACGTTTCATGTCTCTGGGATGTTTTCTCTATTTTTGTCAAAACAAGTGGCACTAATCTCTTCCTTACTATGCTCAGTGAGCACTCCTAACAATTTTCAGGGGACTCCATCCCTCTGAGAAGCAGGGCTGCCTGTTAGCACTAGCTGCCTGCTCCACTAGCTTTGCACGGGCTGGGATCCATTCTTCCCGGTAATCTCCTTCCTAATGACCACATGTCCCTCATATTCCCAAACAGGAGTCAACAACTCCTGAAAGCCTTTTCCATCGCTTACACTGCTGGCCCGCCTGGGTTGGGAGAGGACCTACGTATGACTGTGCTAGCCCTACCACGGAATTTCTCTCTCCATTCCAAGCCCTATGAGTGCAGAAACCAGGGTCTTCTACGCACAGGCCCAGTAAGCCTGTGAACCTGCAAAGGAGACAGAAGCTATGTGCTTAGAAGTGCCTCATGACTATTTTGAACTGCACTTGATGCTGAACTTTAAGAAATCACTTCTGTAATTGTGAAAACAAGCCTTCCAAAGCTTGAAAAGTGCTGTGCCCCTTCAAGCAGGAAAGTAGTAGTTACCCAGCGAGACAGTATGCTCAGGCTGCATTCAGAAAAACAGCTTCCACAACAAGGATGTGCTGAAATCCTCCTCAAAAGCACTGTTCGAAGATAACAAAACCACTAGGAAAATTCCTGCCCTTATGAGACTTACATTTTAGCAAGACAGGAAGTAAAGACACATGCTGGAAAATACCACAAAGGAAAGAACAGGGAGTGAGGACAGGAAGTGAGTGGATATGTTTAGGTGAAGAGTAAAGCTGAATAGAATGATAAAAATAGATTTAGTGGTTGATCCTCAGAACCCACATGATGGAAAAAGTGAGTTCTCTTCTGATGTCTATGTATGAACTGTGATGCATGTATATGTGTGTGTAAATACACATGCACATATATGTATACACATACCCCTACCTACATACATAAACATTAAAAAAAACTTAACTTGATTGTTAACTTTTACTTGAATTGTCAGACAATTTATTGTTTTTCTCTAAGTACTAGGAAAGCTATTATTGTAGACAGTAGATACCACATACTATGAATTGTTTCAAAGACCAATCTAGAAATAGAAGACATGGTTTTTATGTCAGAGGTCATACTTCATTAGTGTGGCAGGTGTGTAAAGGATGCTCCCAGTTCCAGAAAGAGATAGCCTAAGCGAAAACTTCAGGATCGTCAGGAAACAGACACAAACCTCAAAACCCAAAAACATTAGAAGCCCACCTGCTCACCCACCATGCAAACTACTCTCAAGACAGAGCACCGCAACAGTTTTGGAGCACTTGCACGATATTCACACTGGATAAGACCAGGGGATAGGAGGGGATGCTTCTTTCTCTGTGTGGCATGAGAGCAGTGACAATTCCAATAGGCTTCTGACAGGGGTGACTGCCACTGAGAAAATGAGGGATTACTGGCAAGCGGAGCCGAGGTCTACTAAGCAGGAGGTTGAAAGGGCTCCAGAGTGAGAGTGCCAGACTCAGATTATAGAGTGAGAGTCAAAACCCAAGTTTAATTTTCCAGGGGCCTTGTGAGGACTACATACATATGGGCACGAGGAAGAGAAGACGAACCCTTGGGTAGAAGAGGGGTGGATGGAACGTCTTTCACCTGAATCTTCTCAATGAATAACAAAGGTCCACATTAGGGAAATGAAAAAAAAAAAAAACAAAAAAACAAAAAACAAGGCACTAACTGCGACATCAGCACACAGGATGCCAAATATGAGACAGCATTAAGCACTGGATTTACATCCACCTGCGCACTCTCCTAAGTATCCATCCTGTGCTTATTAGTAGTTTTGATATGCTGCAATGCACAAAAAGTAATAAGGAGAAAACCCACAATTATTTCCTTCTGGGATTTAATAGTAGAAAAAGTGATACACACACACACACACACACACACACACACACACACACACAAATTTGAAAAGTATGAAAGAAAATAAAAAGGGCCAGCAAGATGGCTCACTGGGCAAAGATGCTTTTGCTGCCTGACGACTTGAGTTCAACACTGAGGACCTCTGTGGTGTAGGAAAGAACTAACTCCCACAGGGTGTCCTCTAATTTCCATACATGTGCCATGGCAAGAACACACAGATACACAAAATAAACAAAATGAACATGATTAGAAAAATAATAAGATGAGAAAGCAGTATAAAACTTATGGCAATATGGTTTCTTTTTCGTTAAAGCTTTTAGGAATCAGGGTTTGAGGCCATGGTTCTAGACTAGAATGAACCTGCCAGTTCAAAGGCTATCTTACAGAGCTGCACAAACATGCCAATAGCTATGCTTCGTTCATGAGGGGACATGGCCTGCATGACGCCTTTCATCTCTCCGACTTGGCAAACCATCTTTAAAGCATAGTGCAACTTCTGGTTTCCTGGGAAACCTCTCTCATTTTGGCCCAAATACTAGTCAATCCTTTACAAAATGTTCATGTATCTTTACATGTATCTGTTATAACATATGCACAATTAGTCTTTTGCATTATTACATTTGCAAGCTTCTGAGAGCAGCAATTTATTCTTGTATTTCTTGTGTATAAAATACATTTAAAAGAATGTTGGCTCAACAGTGGCTGTTTAGGTTTAGTTTCTTCTTCAGTTTAACTTATTTTCCTCTTGAGATATACTTCTGATTACATTGATCACTAAAGTCATCAGAATTTATGTTACAGGGGTCATACTGCCTATAGAGTATGGATATACATATTGGAGTATGATCGTCAAGGGTGCCAGGCAACCTGTTTCTAAACATGAAGTAAGCTGTGTCTTAATGAAGCATCTTTCTTATCTCCCCTAAACTGATGATCACCTGAAACTGTCTCTTCCTAATTCCCCAGGGTCCAGTCTTACTTATCCTCGAAAAACTCAGGTTGACACAGTCACCTCTACACAGCCTTTTCTGACATCCACAGAAATGACAGACCTTTCTTGTTTGTGTTATTAGTACAGCATCTACAGCTTTCTATGTTGTTGTAGGTCATTTATGCAGATGACTGTTTTGAACTAAAAGTTCATTTGGGGGTAAGAATTGTGTCTCAGTAAACTATATTGTTCATAAAACCAAGCACACTGTGTCAAGGAAGCCTGCCTTGCTGAATAAGTAAGCAAGTACGAATTCTTTGTTAATTGTTTTAGGAGAAGTGACAGTGGTGAAGTCATTATTTCCTACCAGACATTACAGCAGGACCTTTCTATAACCACACTATTACAATAGCTCTTGCAGGGGAGCTATGACATGGGGATTAGTAACCTATACCATGGAAGCAAAACTGTGACTCTGAGATAACTCAAAATAACTTGCCCAAGACCCACGGGCTGTGAAGTGGTAAAACCAAGGCTGGAGTTAAAGACTTTATTAAAGGGCTCATACTCTTCTGCATTTCTCATTTATGTCTTGCTTTGGTTTTATGAAATGTGCTTACGTACATGAATAAACAGCACCAACTGCCTGTGTGACTCAATGACCACATCATGAAAATTAGAGTGTGTGGAAATAATATTCACATTTGTTTATTTTCTAGTTTCCCTCTGGATTATTGACACCTTAACCTGAGTATAGCCTGAGAAAGGCTTAAATAATGTGTTTCAATGCACTGAAAGATAAAGGTTTCTTATTACTGCATTCTTACTTTAGGAGCAAAGGTATAAATGAATGATTTCTTGCTGAATTCTCAAGTCATGGAAAAATTATCAAGATGGTTGCTACGTAGTTTCAGGCCATTTGGTTTTAGAAGGACAGAGTGATGATAAGCAATGCAGTTTGTGCAGCAGTTAATGCAGTCAGCACTCACAGAGATGCTTCTGAATTAAATAGCTAAACACTAAAATAGCATTTTATCAAACAATCACCATAAATAAAATGCATTTTGGCTTTACGATGACATGTGCTCTTACAGGAATGTTTCTTCTGTAAGCTAAGAATTGCATAACAAATTAAAGAACACACATCTATGTGGATAAAAGGCAAATAAACTTTCTTGGCAGTAATGTGGGAATCATCACTGACGGTTTGACATATCAATATTTCAGGAAGAATAAATGACTTTCATATCCGTATTTTTTTAAATCATATACTTATTCATTTTTGCATTACTTGAATACTTTGGAAAGATTCTGTACTTTATCACCTGAAACTGTTAAAAGTATTTCGAAATATTTTAATAAAGCTTTTTGAATGATCAAATAATGTAACTTTTAAACAAATTTTACTATTATTATAAATATTTGCTCTTCATCCTTTGCCCAAAGGAAAACTATAAATCTTGTCTCAACTGAATGAACACCATTTATCATATTCATTTTGTTGTCAATACAATTATGAAAAGCCTTTGGCCTTTTCCCAAGGAAGCTGATTTGCTACTGAAACTCAATTATTATAAGCAAGGCCAGTAGCAAGCCACTGCATTTGGCGATGTAGCACAGCTTGCTGCATAACTGACACCTCGCCCTTCGTCCCTGACCCCAATAACTTCAACATCTATGGTCAAATGGAAGAGATACTGGCTTCTAGCTGAAAACAAAACACCAAGTCCCAAGATTTTCCATTTCTGCCATCTACTGGACAAATGCTGAAATGGAAACCAGATTATATTTGTTGACACAGAAGGGAGTTTTTGCCCGTGACTTTTTATTATAACTGGTGAACAAGAAAAACAAAAACAAAACAAAACAAAAAAAAAACAACAAAAAACCAACAACCTCTTAATTGCTGAGCAGGCTAGCTTTAGAGTCTAGTTTCAAGTGAATAATCAATTTTTGTTCACAAGTAGGCTCTTAAGATTTTCCAAATGAAATGTTTGAACTTTGGAAGAGGGTGCTTAGAGAAATAAAATGGTCTTATGTATCTGGTTTATCCTTTGTAGATTAATTTAAGACTTTCTATGATTAAATTTATAACCTTTATACACACATTATATGTATAAGATATGTAGTTGATTCATCAGGACCATGAAAAAAATCTTATCTGTTTGATATTTAAGAAAATAAAGGTTTCCATAGCAACTAAACACCGTAAGTCAGTACTCTAAATATTAGCATTTAAATTTTTTCATCATGTGTAGCATTCTCTCTATAATATGTTTAGCTCTGTTATGTTTTGGGCCACAACTATGACAGTCACTGAACACTGCTTCTAAGAAGTTTCCTTTACAATATATAAAGAAAGTTTGGATAAGAAAAGTTTAAATAAAACAAGCAAGAAATAATACCACCTAAATGTACACTAAGTTGGGCGTGGTAATCCCAATCCTTGGGTGACTGGGGCACGTCCAGGAGATTAAGTCCATCCTTGGCTCTATGTCAAGTCTCAGGCCAAACTGGCAAACCAGATACTGTTTCAGGAAGGAAAACCACAAAACAAAACAAGTCAATTTGCTTTAAAGTAGAATTTTCTTGTGGGCAGCTGGTTTCAAATATAAAGAGCATGACGCTATCACACTTGGATGACTTGTATAAACAGTCATCTCCTGTTAGGATCAAAGATGACTCACAGAGCACTATTAACATGTTAATAACTGCTTATGGCCACTAAGTAAGTGTCAGATTCAGACAGAATGTGTTCCTTATCTTAGTGTCACAGTAAGCTAGAATACTGGCTTATCTCCTTTGCTGGATGCTGACATCAACTCTCCAAGAAATACAGTGACTTGCTGAGGTTTACACAGTAATTGAAGAGCTGCAATTTCAAACCTAATCTGCTTCTTTTTATTCTTATGTGATGAGACATTTCTGTATAGGGATTTCCCCCCTATCTATACCACAGTTTAGTAATGGAACACTCAAATCTTACAGCAAATGACAAATCCTGGTCATTTATCTCCCGCCCCCACCCCACGCTGCCACCTTCATGAGCATTAATATCCTCATCATGATGACCAACTGTAGCCTCATGAATAAAATCTCAAAAGGATAACTTAACCCTACTAATTGAGATGGAACTGAGACTTCACATCTCAGAAATACCACATGGTACAAATCACTGATCACAAGCACAGATATTAGCTACATGAAGCCTGCAACCCTAACATAAACAGTCATTTAGGAAGTGATTTTCAAGTTGTCAATATTTAATGCTATCTTATCACAACAGTGACCTCTTTGCGCCGGGTCTCCAAATGCTGTGCTCCGTTATCTGTACTGCTGCCACTGTGCTGTAATTTTTAGCTGATTACACATTAGTTCATTTAGCTTTGTTTCCTCTTCCCTACTGTGCCACACTATTAAACGAAAGAGAGGGGCCTGGCATCCCTCTGTGCACAGAGCTGGTATTGTCACAGTGTAATAAGGATACATCCAGTCAAACAGCATGGTGTAGCTGGTCTTTGTGTTCAGTGCAAAGGCAATCCCTCGAAGATCTCTTGCCAGCCCGATCAACATACGCTGTCAGTGGGAAAGAGACACAGTAATTGATTTTCACGTTAGTGCAGAGCAGATGGAGTAATAATCAGGCAATAATGACCACATATCTGATTCTGATTCATTAGCTAAAATGTCTCGTTTAGATCCCTTTCCATAGAAAACCATAGACTCTTTAATAAACAGACCAACAATTTGCTAAGCAAGTCTACTTTGCTTCTTATAAACTGAGCTAAGTCTTAATTCCAGGAGCACAGAAACACTGAGACTCTTAATATATTGTGTGCCCAAATACTGCCAAATTAGAAAAAAAAAAAAAAGATCAGAATTCATAATTTCACAAGAGGTAGATAGTCTAGATATTATTTAATAGCAAATCTCAATTGATTGGCTTGACTAAAATCAACTCTACTATACAATTTAGTCTGCCCTAGAAATGCACTGGCATTTAAGGATCCCCAAAGAAAAGTTGCGATAACTCAGAACAAGATAAAATTAGCTAGGTAATCTGCAGCATTATGATAGAACAAGAATGGCAGCCATATTGTGGGAAAAAGTTATGTTTTTAATATCATGAGATTCTGAAACTTAACTCTAGCTTTGTTTAATTCTTAAAGACAAGGCAATTAATCAGTCTTAATTTCCAAATCTATCACAGGGGCTAATTATAATCATGGTCCTTCCACAGATCTACTATGAAAGATATGATTGTTTGCAAAAATGCATAGCAATAGCTTGACAAATAGTAAGCATGGTTCATAAATGGTTTTAGAAGGGAAAGGGGGAAAACCAAACCGACCCCCTCAACATAAATAAAAAAAGATCTGACTCATACTCTGCACTCTTAATTAAGCTGTCCTTAGGATGATGCTTGGGAAGGAAAAAGAAAACCCACGAACAGATGCTAGAATGTCAGAACAAAGAGCACAAATAAACATAATTGCCCAACAAGGAGGTGTGAGAGTTGAGACATGCAACTGTGATTTCTGAATATACTGTTTCAGAAGAAATATTAAGCCAAAAAATGGTCTCGGGACCTTTTCAGATTGATTTTGGTAATAAATGAAAACCTGTTTAGTAAAAAGCCCAAGTTATCAAGTAGGCAATGAATTTTAACCATCTTTATCATGGAGGACATTTCAAAGTAACAAATCATGGCTTGTGGTCAGACACACTGCCTCTCCTACCTAAATGGTGACTCAATATAACTGGATGTTGTCTACGGGACTATTCAATTTCAATTTCTAATAGCTTATGGAATGATGAGAATCCAAAGTTTTTAATATGAAAATCCTAAATTCATTTTGCCTCACTTAGCTTTCTCTCATAACATCACCAGCTCTTACTTTTTTTTTTTTTTAACAATTACCAGGATTCCTCATAGTTACCTCATGCTACCATTATACTTTAATTGTTTATTATGCAGTTTTGTTTTGTTTTTATTCTCACCAGCTAGGATTGGTCTCCTCTTTCTCAGCTTCCTTCTTTCCTTGCAGCCTCCAGAACAAAAATCCATCACCTAAGAGGCATTCTCTGAACATTTGCATTCTGGCTGCTGTCGATGCTATAAGATGGATTCTACTTGGCTTTGCCATCTATTAAAGTACTCTTTAAAAATTCTATTTTATTATATATACTTATATAAGCTACTCCTAAGGTGATTTTAAGCTTCCATATATATATGAGATACCCACTATTCAATTTTAAATTAGTGGACAAGAACCATGAATTTTACTTCATGCCTATACAAAAGGCTTTTCATAAAAATGTCATTATACAAAAGGTTAATTTTTATTTGATCAGAATTTTTCCTCCTTAAAGGTACCAAGTTGATACAAGTACCCTAAAAAGCAAATCTACAGTCTTTTTAATACAGTAAAATGTGTCCATAAAATTATACTAGTGTTTTACTTTTGGAAAATGCTACTTCAGAGCAGAGAAAGTGTATATTAAGCATAAGTTTCAGATTCACTCAAGCAATAAAGTGTAGTGTTAATGTAAGAAACAGAGTCATTATATTCAAAAATAGCATTCCTCTCAGGGCAGCACGGAATTTACACAGACACATAAGTAACGCTACAGGAGAATTTTCTCAGTATTCAGCTCTGGTACGAGACAGACAGCCTTTACCAGTAGCTCATACTAGCTGGCAAATAACCCATGATCTTGAGGGGTGGGGGCTGATAGATCTAAAAGGCGAGGGCTCCGATAATTTTCTCGCGGTGCATTGGAGGGTAGGGTAGGGTAGGTCTAGTGATCTAATCCTATAGACTCTGTTCTGGAGAGTTCAAGAAGAAACTGCTGAGAGCTTCAGTCCGCTGCACGGTGAACAGTTGTCTGTGTGCCAAGTGTGAGACGAATGGGCTGGGAAACAGCTGAAACGCAGCTCCTTCCACCCTGACCCCCAAACAGGGTTTCTAATGGGAAGTCTGACAGACCCTTTACTGTAGTGGCACTACTGGGGCAGCTATAATATTATCCTCATAATTCTACTATATAATAACAACAAAGAAAAAGAAGGTGAAGGGTCATTGTGCTTTGTCTTTAGAATTAAGATGGCTGTCTTCATCCTTACAGCATACTCTTAATTCTGGAGACACATCTTAATAACCTCTAAATAGTTCCAACAAAAGAGCCGTGTCAGAGGAATGAGCAGGCCCCAAGGTGTTTCAACTGGAGTGTTTTCATCTGCCTTTATTGCTCTATCCCTCTCCAGAATTAAGGCAATAACCTGTGATAAATTATTCAGGAACTGCTACAGGGATCAAAGCAAAATCATTCTGTTAAAGTGCTGTTTGCAACATTTGGCACTTAGTGCGAAACTTTTAATGTGCGCATGCTGAAAATCAAGGATTTTAAATAATTTAGCATCGTGGAGTTTTTACGAAGGGACTAAAGATAGGTTCCTATTTAACTGCTCCTCTTCCTCTAAGAAGTTTTCATTCATTTTTCTTAAAACCCATGACGTCATAGCTGCATTGAAAAATATGCCTGGGCTAGAGGAACAATACACTATATTTTACTATGGATAAAATGATGGGGTGTGGGGGGTAAGAAACATTTTGAAATAATACTCTAGAACCAGGAATTTTTTTGTTTTCTTTCTTTCCTTTTGATTTTTGGAGACACACACACACACACACACACACACACACACACACACACGAACCCTAACACAAAAAATTCACCATTCGCTTAAATTTTATTAGGACTAAGTAAAGAAAACAAACTTATAAATAAAAGCTCTTCAGCACTTTTTTTCTTCACAGTATTTCAGTTTGAAAACACAGGTGCTTAATGTTCAAGTTCAACTTAAAATCTGCATTTGAAAAAGATCTATAAATAGGGAGTTAGACGATCCTGGTAAGGGCTGCAAATTAAATGAGTTTGGCAGTCTTGTAGTATTTTCATAAAGATATTTTAACAGCATCACCTCCTGTGGATTGGAATACTAAATACTTTATTGGAGAACAAAACAGAATGGTTTCCATCTCTAGTACTTGCAAAATGAAGTACCTGAAAGCACCTTTGCATGTATTATTTATTCACTATGATAGAAAAAGAGCCTTAACCTAATAAATTACATTTAAGAGCATTTAGTGCAAAAGTTTTGTTTATGATAAAGCAACAGACTTCGTTCCTTACCGGCAGCTGTAAGCACCAAGTTTTCTTCATACAAATTAGACAGATGGTGCTTACAGTAGAATTTACTAAAGGTCTGTCACAACAAATGCAGCCAAGCTGCATATTTAATCACTGCAGAATCTTGTCTACCTGCAGCTGCCAACTGCTAATCCAATTTCCCTGATAAATGTGGCAAGAGACACGATCAGCAATAAAGAGCATCTAACTCCATTTTCCTGCAGGGCGTCTTTTGATGAACATTTAGGACGGAAGCACGGAGTGCACTGTGTGGCCTTGGTTCGTGGCAGCTGCATGCATTCTGAGGCACAGTTCTCAGGTTACTCACTTAATTCTGCCACTATCATTACGTTGCTATTGATCTCAGTAGCTGTTGCCTACACAGCATTACTCTAGATGAAGCTGAATCAGGCAGTTATCATGCATCAAACTTGCTCAAAAGCCTGGAGATTTCCCCTTAATTACTTGTGATTTTATTTGCAAATACCGTTAAAGTGTAATCAAGCAGTCACTTTCCAGGGTCGTTAAGAACTTGCTAGTTTAGGGATATATCACTGGAACTCCATTAAAAATGACTCTAGGAAGATGGTTTCTATCAAACTAGATGGAATTACATCCAAACAGGCTTGGAATATAATGAAATCTTCAAATGAGACAAATGTAATTTTTATAAAGATGGCAGTTTTCAACCTCACTGATTCTTTTATGAGGGGCAGTGATGGCTACTTAAAAGCTGAAAAGATTCTGTTGGCCAGAAGCATTAGGAAAACATCTAAAAAATACAGTTAATTTGACTGGGAACTGACAAAGAATTTACAGAGATCATTTAAACAAAGAAAATATAAGAACTTACCTGCTTTTAATATTTTTATGACTATGTTATCTTGATAAATATCTAGTTCAAAAACTCTGTTTTAAACTAAAAGATAATATTTGGGTAATATTTTTTTTTCATAGAAGAATTATATAAATATCATCAAAGGCTGTCCCTTTTCTATTTGGCTTCATGTTATTTGTGTGTGTGTGTGTATAAGAGAGGAAGAGAGAGAAGGAGGGAGAGAGAAGCCAAGAAATATGGGTAATAATTCAACCTATTTCAAATAATAATTTTTTAGTAAGGATTCACCAACAAAGGTACCTACTTCTCTTGGGTGTATTTAATATTCTTAAAAATAATGATCAGTGCCAATCTATTTAATATAGCACCGACACAGTATAATTTCAGAAGATATTATTTCTGTTTGGCAAAGCTCCTGCTCCCATCCCCCCACGTTAAAATATGGGGCTGTTTTGTCACAAACAGCTTGCTACACTTAAGGATTTTACTAATAAAACATAATGTTGTCTTAGATATTATGACTGTTGCCACAGCTGAACTGACTTGTCAAATCAATCCTAATATGGCTCCCACAGGCACATAAAGTCTTATTTAGCTATCAGTTATCCTAATCACTTTGTTCAGTTTAAGAATGCAACACTTCAAGACTGGCTCCTATTTATACTCATATGCCTAGCCATTTAATAAAGTCTTGATTTATATAAATTCTTGTTTAAAAAATCTTCAGAGATGTAGGGTTTTAGCATGTGTGCATGTATCTATATAGACATGCTGAAACACACAGAGCAGGGTGGAAAAAAGGTAGCAATGTTTAAAGTGTTGTACCCATGTGAACCATGCTGTTACAGACAGTGAGCATCACTGGAGACAAATCTGCACCATCTAACCATGAATTGACTATCTTTAGCCACACTCACTGACCTCAAAGTCCATTTGTATTAGAAACTAGAAAAGCATTTACATTAAAACACAACTCACAAACATATTACTTAGAAATGTGGCCACGAGACATATGTAAATACAAATGCATTTTCTTGTGTTAAACATCTGAGAAAAAGTAAACTTCTCTTTCCTCATGTATGAAAACAAACTCACCTTTACTTCTTCTTGTTTAAAGTTGTTGTTGAATATTTGTAACACTGTTTCAAAAGAGACTGTGAGAGGCAGCATAAAATTCTCAAATTCATCCTCATCTTCGCCTATGGAGAAAACAAAAGGGTCACTGTTTAAAATGAATGCTACTGTACATTAGACTCAACACTGAGTACTTCATTCAAGTTTAGAAATGTTCCTTTGAAGAGGCTGGCATGCAATTATATCCATGTCACAACTGGTGCTTTGGTTCATTGAATATTCTGGTTTTTACTCTCTACACCAAATGAAACAGCAACATTACTCAACAGCCATTTTCCCTCTGTCTTTTTATTGGCTCTAACTAACTCAGGCCCCAGGTATTTCCACCCATCTTTAGATCTTGGGGACCCAGTTTCTCTAATGTCTCAAGAAAGAATATTTTTAAAGCTTTACAGATAACGGTCCCCTTTGGTTCCCCCAACCCCCTCTTTTCTCTTTCGGTGTCAAGGACTCAAAGGACTCACCGACTTAGATGTCTAGAAAGCTCTAAGGTATTATTCTCTTTTATTTATATCCTTAAAAAAAAATAACTTATGGGTACTGGAAAGACAGTGGTTAAGAGGTCTTGCTGCTCTTCCAGAGGACCTGACTGCTGCTCCTAGCACCTCCATCAAGCAGCTCACAACTGCCCATAACACTGGCTCCAAGGGATCTCATATCCTCTTCTGGTGGCAAACACTCACAGATACACACATATACACGAATACAAACAAATCTTTAAGAATTAGCTTATTAACAAATGGCAAAAAAAAAAGAGGTTTCTTCATAGGTCACTTACATTTCAACTGTTCTCCATGGAACACCTCCTCTTAATTATGAACAAGAGTAAAATGAGATATTTCTTATTAATTTTTCATATAAAGATAGACTATATTTTTCTTAAGGATTCTATCAAAACAGAATCTTTGTACCCTGATAATTTGCCTACTATTCTTTTCAAAATTGATTCTTCTGAAATTAGATTGGACCCCTTCATTCATCCTATGCCACAGGGAACCATTTACTAATAAAGCAACAGAAGAAGCTTACATTGTGTTGTTGAAGTTGTCACTCAGTTGGAAGAGAACTGTATGGTTCAGACCCGATCCCTGTGCTATTAGTGGTTTTAAATACAGTAGTAGGAAACACCTCAGAGAGGAGAGCAGTGGCCCTCAGCGTTTGGTGCCTGCTTTAGAAGCAGGGCCACCTAAGGCTTATGAGACGCCAACTTCCAGGTTCCAACCCAGTCTGCCCTACTGCATCAGAATCTCAGAGGGCAGGAACAGCAACTCTGCTTTAGCATCTTTCCAGATGACTCAGATGTCTGTCAACCTTAGAGAAACTGATGTATTTATCCTTACACAGGTGATAAAGTCTAAGTGATCAATGATGATCAATGATGGCTGATCCTGATTATTATCTGCTATGATTTTCTTCTTCCCTTAAAACGTACATAATTTGCCTTGAGAGTACAACAGAATAGTAAACATAGAAAGATGCCAAAAAAAAGTCAATGAATCCTAGAGATCTGGTCATGATGGGTCAAGGTCTTGGGTGAAGAATAAGGCAGACCAGTTTATAATCTCTGCTCTGTCAAGTGGCTATGTGACCATATTATTCCTCATATCTAACAGTGTTTGTCACAGAAGTTTTTATTTTTAAGGCTTGCATCCAAAGATGTCATCTAAAGATGGCCACACCCTTCCCAGGCCTTCTCCAAGTGCCCCACCTCTTTTCTTTCTATTTCTGTTGCATGTCCCCCTCATTTTAAAGCACACCTCCAATAGCAGTACCAATACTATAGCCACTTACACCATACCTCCACCACCACTGTTTGATCAAGCGTCTGTGGGACCGAAGAAGAGAAGTTTATAATGTACATATGTTAGTTGCTAACTACTAGCTGCCATGGTTACTATATCTTGGGCTTTGCTTCTGGAGTGCTGGCAGGGTGTGTCACTGTTTTCCTGTGGAGGATGATGATGCTGGGATCTGCAGTACATAGATTCAGGAATCTGGCTTTTACCACATTTATTTAACCCTGAATACTTTACTAACCATGGGCTCTCACTTCCTCATCTACAAAATAAGGATGGAATGCTAAAATTCATGAGAAAGAGATGTTTCTTATATACCGATGGTGGTAGAAGTATTACAGCATTAGCAATATCAATTAGTAACACACCAATGGTGGCCCTATTAGCAACTCCAAAACCAGTATCTTCTATTATTAGAGAGATGCTGTGCTTGAATGAAAAACAGTTGCTCAACAAATTTCCCAAGTCCTGGGGTGGGTCAGGACTTACAGGTCTAAGGCTGTAATATCAGTACTTGAAAATGGAGGCAGGAGGATCAAGGGTTCAATGCCAGGCCCAGCTACTTGAAAATCTGTTATTTCAAAGGTTTAAAAATACCTGATATCATTTAAAAAAAGAAAGAAAAAACAAACAAACAAACAAACCGGAGGTGGTAACTCAGTGGTTGAGCACTTGCCTAGCATGTTTGAGAGCAAGGTGGTTTTGTGGGAATCCTAACAGTGGGAGTGGGGCTGTCCCTGAGTCTTTTGCCTATTTCTGGGACCCTTTTCCTCCTACTGGGTTGCCTTGTCCAGCCTTGATGTGATGGTGTGTGCCTAGTCTTCTTGTAGCTTGTTATGCCGTGTTTGGTTGATGTCCATGGGAGGCCTGTTCTTATTTGAGGGAAGGTGTGTGTGTGTAGGGGATGAAACTGGGGGAGAGGGAAAAGAGACTGAGGGAAGGAAAAGAAGGGGAAACTGTAGTTGGATATATGTATTAGAGAAGAATTTTAAAAGGCCCAAGCGGTAGAGTACTTTGGCTAGCATGTGTGAAAGCCCTGGGTTCAAATATTACCACCACAAAACAAATGAACACACACACACACACACACACACACACACACACACACACACACACACCAAAAAAGCTCTAGGAAAATAAACAAAAACCCCATTCTAATAAATAGTGTAGGTGAACATTATCAAATCGTAGGTACATAATACTCACATACATTGAATTTAAAAACACAATCTTACTCTACAATCAAGTGTTTTCTAAAAATGATTATTAATAAGAACAGTGGTAATTGTAACTAAAGGTAGAAGGGTGCTGGAAGGAGCAGATGCTCTGAAACCACGATGCTTATTTGAGCTTCAGTCCTGGTTCTTCTGCTGTTAGCTGTCCAACATCTAAGCCTTAGTGTCCTCTTTGTAATTAAGAGACATATTTACTTCATAAAGTTAGCTGTGAGGATTAAATGACAAGGCATCTATACCTCCCCTTGCTGGCACTTCATAAATGACAGCCATTAGCATTCTTGTTGTCTTGAGTTCGGCACGGACTTAGAGAGGTGATTATGATAATTAAATGAAGTGTGACCACACAACTGCCAGGCCAGTAAATACCCTTCCTTTGGGAATGACTTCTGCAACAAAGCTTCAGCTTTTCCAAGGCAACGACATGTTTATTCATAACAAATACAAATTCAGAGCTTCTGTATTTTAACTTTATATTTTAAGTTATGGATAAAAAAAAATCTTACTGACTCCATCTATTTCACCAATCAAAATTCTCCAGGCCCACTCAACAGGAAGCCATGCCTGGTCTTAGAAACCTAGCCAAATGCCTGAAACAGTGAGGTCATGGATCATTTTTACTTTACCAGACCAGCAAAATTTCTACTTGTATTCAAAATCTTATCCTTATACTCATAAGTGTATCTCTCAACCCTCAAAGAAGCTTCTCTTTACAGCAAATGGAGACCATTATCAAATATTGCAATTGGTTATAATGCAGAGATCAACAGAACATGAGGTGCTCAGTTCCAACAGACAGATCTATAAAACAACTCCTACACCAAAGGATCAGGAAAAATCGAGGAAGAGGGGTCATAAGATCATAAGAGCCAGGGGATCAGGAAGATTTTTATCTCTCAGAAATAACAGGAAAGCTACCCCACAATACCTCAATGACATGGTTGCCTAAACAAGACCTCAACAATGACAATATTAACACACACAATAATGGGGAAGCAATCAATCTGACCTGGCCACATCCCTAGACAAATAACTATAGGCAACTAATGACAACTGAGAAAGGGAGAATTAGCTTCCACAGGGGTGAGCCTCTTAAGTAGTCAGCCCTAAAGTTATATAATCATATACACATAAGCCACACTAAATGGATTCAGCAGGATGTGTGTATACATATATATATTGTTTGTGTGTATGTGTATACACATATATATTGTTTGTGTATGTCTAACAATAACAGTCAAAAAGAGGCCATCAGTTGGAGAGGGAGTAGGAGGTAACATAGGGGTTGGAAGAAAGAAGAGACATGAGAGAGTCTGGAGGGAGGAAAGGAAAAAAGGAAACTGACAATTATACTCTAAATTTCAATAAGAATTAAAAAGCAAAGATTTTATCATGTAACAACAACAAAAACAAGATAAAAATAGGAATGTGATCAGAAGGCCTTTTCTGTCCACTTCCTTCACCATCATTTTCCAACCTGCTTTCCCATCCTGGAACTCACTCTGTAGATCATACTGGCCTCAAACTCAGAGATCTGCCTGCCTCTGCCTCTCATCACTACTGCCCAGCCTGTTTTCCCTTTCTTATTGGAGTTACTATGACTGGCAATGACTTTTTATACACTTTGTCATTTATTGTCTGTCTTCTTTACTAGAATATAATCTTCTTGGGGAGGAACTTGGTCTACTTTGATCATGGCTGTCTCTCCAGTATTTAGAATAGGGTTTCACTGAATTGAGTACTCAATTTATTCAAAGAACATGCTCATAGCCTTTGCTATATTCAATACAATGTTGTAACTCACAATGCCACATAATTTCACAATCTTCTCAATTTTTGAATAGGAGCAGAGAAGACCCAAAGAATTAAGTAGCATGCCAAGTATTTTCCAGCTGATAAATGCCAGTGATGATCTAAGATCCTGATCAAGTCTGTTTTTACTTTCAAGTTTATGCTCTTCCCCTATATCTCTGATGAGTGGAAGACATCAAAAATATGGAGTGAAGTCAGTGACACAGATTCTTGAATTTGGAG